GAGGCTTTTATGCGAAGTTGTCCTGACGTCGGCATAATAGCCTCCACCATGTCTAATGGCGGCGGCTACTACGCCAAGTCCTCCGGACTTGGCGTAGTAGGCGCCGCCATTAAATCACACTGCTCTGCCCGACGAGTGACGGAACCTTCCAGGTCAACAACTTTGTTCACGAGCTTGCGTGCTGACATCCAAGGATGCGCTCTGCAGAACCGCAAAAAAAAGGCGTTTGTCCCACTGCTGCACCGGTGCGCTTTCTGCGCTGCTGCTTCCACTAGACATGGCACAAAGTGCTGAGGAAGGAGCTCCGGTCAGAAGCTTTGAGGGCTTGGGGTGGCAGGGGGGTGCACGACTTGAACAGCTTCTTGCGCCAGGACCTTCAATATCTCCAAAGGATCACTGTCGAAGACGCGGCTGCGCTTTAAGGTTTAGGTTTTTTGGGGTTTCGGGTTTAGGGTGGAGTTGGGGTGTCACTGCAGTCTTTCGCGACCCTTGTCTTTTTTCAAGCACAGGCCTGAACAGTCAAGTCGAAACTCGAAACGCCCTGCAGGGCCATTGCGCAGAGCTAGCTTGGAGCCGGCCTGCTTTTGAAGCAGCCACGATTGCCAAGGTCAAGCCAGGCAAGCGAAAACGAAATTAAACACTTCTGATTCCGCCCAGCAACAGCTGGAATTCCCGGCTAGCAGCTATTCCATTAGTAGGGAGCTTTTGGTTGACAAGCTGTACAGATTGCATGGAGCCGGCATGCATGAAACAAAACAAAAGCGGGGAAAACTCGTGTTTCGGGCTTCCAACAGGCCAGCTTGCGCAGGCTTTTGTTGGATGGCGTTGGCATGGCTATTGAAGAGGTTAAGTCCCGCATTGAGCCTGGCCTTGCGGGGCATCCAAAGAAACTTTAAGTTTCTCCCTCCTCCAGCGATCTGTTACAGATCAAGTCGAACGACCCCAGGAACATGATGCCGGCACGTTGGCTGAGATACACCGAGTACCCACAGCAAAGGCCACGGAAGTGAAAAACCTCGTCGTGGCGGCGGATCCCTGCATCAGGGGCGCATGCCCATTGCCGCAACGTAAACCAGCAGTTGTTGCGATCGTTCTCGTCCTCATGCCAGGACCAAGTCCCTTGCTGCGCAATGGCTCTGTGTCCGCCTCTCGTGAATCGCCTGAACCAGACGGTGCCACGTCGCTCGAAACGGGCATCCTCGTACAATATCATGTACTGTACTCCGAACGTCGGTTCAGGTAGCCGAAGTCCTGGTATTTGAACAGTTTGAACCTGATGTGAGTGTTCCCCAGCGACATGGCCAATCTCACAAAGCTTGTCACAAGAGGGGCTCGAGCAGATCACGCAGCTGCAGCTGCAACTTCTGAATTGCACTTGCGAAGATCCGAGATGCATGTGTCGGCAAAATTAAAATCTTTAACATGCAAGTAGAATCGTTCCGGCTTCGAGGCATGCGCAACATGAACTCCTGCTGCTGCTTCAGGTTATCAACCAAAGAGCGAAACAGAAGGAGGATGGCACCGTCCTGTTCTCCGGTACCCGTATTTTCAAGAAATGGAGCAGCATCCGCAGGAGACCCAGAAATGAAATGCTCATGAGATTTAAAGTGACAGCCTTGTTTAGCGTGTTGCATCACATGGTTGCCTTGAGTGCCTTCAGGTTGCTTCAGTTCCACTACGAGGGTGACTCGTTCCGGTGTTAGCGAGCGCGGTGTGCGGGTGCAGTCCCCAGCACACGTTTCAATCAATAATAACCGAGATGACTGATGCTCCATGGACCCAGGACCTAGCGAATATGATTGCCTATTCGACGGAATTTCGAAAGGCCGGGGGCTCGTGCTTGCCCAATGCCTTCCTAACGGTCCAAGCAGCAGAATGGTTTTCAGGCCGGGCGTGTTGCAACAATCGTGTCGCTGCTTCTGACTAGTGCTCCTGTCCTGCTGTTTGCCTTGCAGGACTGCCCCGCAACTGGACCTCGTCAGAAGCCGGTGCTGTGAAAAGTGGCATCGTGCGAGACATGTGGCCACAGCTCTTTGAGGCTTTCTGAATCGTAGTACACACATGAGTCTGATATTGAATTCCACCTGAACTTCAGAAGAATCACCGCGTGAAGTGTGTCTCGCTCTTCACGGGCATCGGCGGCCTGGAAGTGGGTCTGTCTCCGTGGGGGGCCCATTTCTGTGTCATGTTTTGCTCATTATCGTGCAGAGTTTTTGGTATGGCAACATCTTTGCATGTCAACTTTCAACTTTACTTTGCTGCTGTGTAGCACTCTGGCTGGAACCCAACAGACCTCCCTCCGCCTCTTCACGGCATTCTGATGGTCATCCTGCGGCATGCATGGACAGAAGTTTCGTACAGTGACAACCGTTGGTGTCAATCAGGTGAAGTCCAGAACTCAGTTTTTAACGTCGATGGCAATTCAGCTTGAACTTTGATTTGGCCTTGTAGCAAAACAAAAGACTACTCTGTGCCAGGGTTGCTCCGGGCACGGTTGTATGGTGCCGGTGGAAGGGCAGCGTGTGGCTTGCCATGTGCAACGAGATGACTTGCATTGTGCGGTGCCTGCGTCTCGGGTTCCTGCGCTGTCCTTTTCCCAAGGTGGCTCTGGGATTTCAAGGACAGGGCTTGGGCGAAGACATCAGAGGAGTCCATCAAACTCAGTGATGATGGCAAGGCCTGACAAATTCAAACCTTCATGCATTCTTCTGTGTTTTCATCCTGGCACATGTGCATAGTACTCGCGCGGTTTGATCAACGTTTACATGGTAAAGGTGGCTGCAAACGCCGACGAGAGCAAGAAGAGGACTCCTGAGCGCGCAGATTCAGATGTTGCGTGCGACACGAAGAGGCAAAGGTGACAAACAAGTTTAGTGACACTGCACCTTCATTTGGGCTGCTGTGTGCACAGCGGACAATGACAAGTAGCCTTAAAAAAATATTTCTGTGCCTTAAGGTGGTTCCACTCTGTGGAGATGGCAGGGTGCTTGGCATTGGCCACTGAGTGAGTATCGAACGGCTGGAATCTTTTTCCCTCAGGTCGAGAGGGACGTTGACTGCCAAAAGGTGCTCCGTGCGCGGATGGAAGAAGGCAACCTCCCTCAGTGCCCTATCCATCCCGACATTGAGACGTACCAGCCTTCAATGATGGCACTGGAAGCGGAAGCAGTACTTGCTGGTTTCCCTTGTCAGGCCTGCTGCCACGTGCATCTTGTTTTGGAAACTAACTGTCGATGAGCTGTCAGCACTGTGTAGTCCAAGGGCGATGAATTCTTGATTCTCCTGTCATCAGGGGATTTCTGCAGCCGGAGCTCAGAAGGGTATGCGCGATGAACGATCCTCTTTGATTCGAATGGCATTCACGTGCTTCGACAAGCTGCCCCAAGCGCAGCTCGGAATTGTGAGATCATGTTAGACTGCGGCGTTCCAATGCTGTTGTTTGTTGTAATCTGCCCAAAGCCAAATAATTTCAATCTGCTTGCAGGAGACTCATGCTCATTGAGAATGTCGGTGCTCTGCTGCACAATCAGAAGAACTGCAGAGACGTGTTCCTGTACATTCAACAGGCTGGATAATAATGATTGAGGTTCGCCTGTCAGAATGTGAATAATAATCATCATCATAATAAACTATTATCTGAATGTCTTAGGTTTTGCTCCTAGCCACAGGCCGCTTCCAAGCGCAATCTTGACCTGCATTGGTGCAGCCTGACCCTGGCCCAATGTGGGCTCCCTGCTCGGGACCTACTCCCTGTTTAAGTTTGCCATCAATCATTAATCATTGCTCTGAGCTTTGGAAGGCTGCAATGTGAAGACTCTGCTCTCTGAGGCTGGCAGGCGCCGCGTCTTCTTGCTGGCAGCGAGTCCGGACATCTCTGGTTTTCCTGAGGCTTCTTGTTGCTTGACTTTGCGGCTTCTCGCACAAATTCTTGCGTGCGCTCCAGGCCGTGCTGCCCGCGAAGCACTTCACGACGGCAGATTGGAATCCTGCTGCAGCTTTGTCAATGCAGAGCTGGTTGTCTGAAGCCAGGACAGTTGAGGATGCCAGACGCATACACATGCTGGGGAACGTGGTAGTTCCCAGGCAGGCTAATGCTGCCATGTCTCTTTTCTATGACATGCTTCGGTCGAAGCCTTGAGGCCGTCGCAGAGACAGTTTTGATTTGCTTCTATTTTCGACCAGGAATCGGCAGTTTCCAGTGCGAAATGGTCCGTTTCATGCCAGTCTTTTTGGCTTGCTGGCCATTAATTATTGCTGTTACGAGCTGTTACTGAGTGCCTCAAAATGCCTGTAGCAGCAGCAGAATTCACAAGTTTCGCGCGACGGCTACATGGATGCCTCTGCCCCCAGTGAACGAGTTAACTGATGAAGAAGATCCAGAAACAGCAGCTTTGATAGCACCTGGTGTTACCATAAGAATTGTTACTCCCTTCGTTGTTTGTTCAACTTGAAATTAAATGAAAAAGAGGTCCTTTGCATCCTTGTTACATTCGAAGCCTTAGACACGTCAAGTTCGCGTCACATCATGGTGGAAGCAGAGCTTTAAAAGCTTTCGTGATTTGTTTTTTGGTTGAACCTTGCCCACGATGGCCGCATCAAGGATCGGCAGTCCAAGGCCCAGCCAAGAGGCCGTGGCAAGAAGCGTGCTCGGTCCAGCGAGCGCAGTGTGAAATCTGTGGTCGATAGCCTCCTGAGAAGAAGATGTGGCACCACATGCAAAAGGATGTGCCTTGCCAAGTTTTGTTCTCCGGCGAGACGAGATGCGGTCATAGCTTTCCGCACTGAGTGGCAACGTCTCCATAAGCTTGACCAGGACAATGTGGTGGCTAGTCTGAATCATGGTTTTTCTATGAGCTTCATGTATTTTGCTTCTGGATGCGATCAGGCCGTGATTATCCTGATTCTGCTCCTGAGTGTAGTCTTCTGTGCACATTCCAGGCATTCCAATCGATGGTCCGGATGATGACGGAATCGAAGGCTGCCGGAGAGGACCGCATGCAATGGAAGTTCCTTGGTGAGCCCGTGTGTCTCCGCGCTTATCAAGCATTGCACTCGCTGGGCACCTCGGATTCAAGCTTCATTTTAATTTGACTGGTGTCAGACATGACTACTACTCTGAGGTTGCAGCAGGTTTGCGAGGCTGAGCAAAGCTGCACGTGCAGGGAAGACTGGCCCTCCAGCTGACATACGCTACCTCCAGCGACCCTCACAGGTCACATCTCGGAACGTTCGTGGGGAAATCCTGTCCTATTTGCAAAGCGTGTATGATTCGACGGCAGAAACACTGCCTGATGTGAAAGATGGTACCTGTGAGCCGGACGAAGATGCGTCGGTCGAACTTCTGAAAGATGTTGCGACTTGTGACCAGGATGATTATGCTGTAAGTTTGGCCAAGTTGCAGCAAGTCAGTGCCTTCAAGGACAGCAAGAAAAAAACCAATCAAAGAAAGAGGTCCGTCACAATTCTGCGGAAGGATGGAGAAGTACGCTACTTGCCTCCAGGTTCCATGAAGGAATACTGGGAACAGCTCAACTGCCAGCGTGAGTCCCAGAAGCCCATCAGTTTTGCCTTCTTTTGGAGGGCGCCCTGACTTCGACTTGGCTGTGGTGTGTTGTCCAATATAGACTTGCCGCAGCCGCACTTGCCACTTTCTTCTGCCAACTTGTTTCAGTGTTTGAGCCAAGGTGTGGTATCAGGAATTCGCTTTCATGAAATTTCGATCACATTCCAATCACGCAGTGTGCAGCACTTGTCTGCGTCACAAACTCCTGATTAGAGAGTTGTCCAGCCATTTATTGGCGCGGAAGGAGCAGGTCAAACGATATCACGGTCACTTGCGTGACCAGTACTTGGACCGCATGACGTATTGGTCACTTCGCGGTGAAAGCCGCCTTCGCGGTGGCGCTTCAGTCACCGCAATCATCGACTCTATGGACCAGAGCAAGACATGTCTTCCTAGAGGGGCCTGCATGAAATCGAAGGCACGTGGGTCGGAGCAAGTTTGTCGGTATCCGAGACAGAAAGCAGTGACACGCAACTCAGTTCCCATTGTGTTTCTTTCACAGTGACAGTGGCAGGAGCTCTCCAACATGCAGCGTCCCAAGATGCACCTCACCGCAGTCATCATCCACGGCTTCAGCATCTTTCTTTTCCTTTCGGAACATGACCAAGCAAAAAACAGCTCTTCGATGATTGAGATGATGAGCTATTCTCTGACCATGCTCTCCAAGCATTGTCTTTTGAAACACCTATCTGTCAACATACAGTCTGACAACACAGTCAGGGAAATGAAAAATAATCCATTTGCGAAATGGATGGGGAGCCTGGTGTCCCATGGAGCCACACTTGTACTCAGTCCTGCTTGCTGCATATTTCCATTGCTCACGGTGGACTTCTTCTTTGCATTATTTTCGGCTTTGATTCTGATTTCACTCTGAGGTATCATTCGGGAGTGTTCGCTGCGTAATTTGCGCAGCGGACACTCCCATGAGGACGTGGACCAATGCTTTGGTCTGGTTGCCACGTGGTTGGCCAAGCACGCCAGGCAGGCCGAGACGCCGGGTGACTTGCTGCAGGTTGTACAAGGGTTCCTGAACAATGCTGACCGCCCGTACGAGCGGGAGCGGGTTGCCGTGCAGCTGGACCAAGTGCGAGATTGGTGCCTGGCTTGCAAGATGTCAATCCTCAGTTTTAATTTGTAATCCTTGGCAGGGTTTAGGG